GAATCGAAAGTTATTAAAATTGACCAAATAACATTTTAATGAGAATTTTAACTTTTAAAATGTTTACTTGATTCATGGAAAGCAAAGATTGGAGTGGTTTTGGGTATTACAGCCCTGATTTCTCTCCTGGAATACAGGTGTCACAGCGGATATAGACCCCCCCTTCGCAGATTTGGACCCCTCTACCAAACGTTCCTTTTAAGCATCCTTTGTATCATATTTGGCAACTAATTCTATTTGCAATTCTATTTATCGATGTTCGTCTCAAACACAACACAACATTCCTCAATAAAGATAAAGAAAAACAGCCATTTCGTTCCAATTCTACCGCATTTATTATAGCGAGTAGGACAGCAGACGCAAGTATTAGATGTGAACAAACTACTGCATTCCAATCATTGAAATTTTTACGATAAATCTTTGCTTCTTCTGATGCGAATCAACATTGATAAGAAATGTCATATCAATAGTAGAGACCATTGCGTCCAGTCACAAAAATAACCCAGTCTGATTTTCTTAAATAATAACATTAAACAGTTTCTGCACAAGAACGAAGAAACTACTCCTACTACAAGTCGTTCGTAAAGCCTATGATAAGTAAAAATGTTTCTATTCTCAACTATCGGAACTGACAGCTTATTTTCGTATGCAAATCAACATTAATGTCAACGTCTAAACAAAAGTGGAGACTATTACATCAAACTCAATCTTATTTTCTAATTTTAACGATTATTTACTGTTGAGGGATCCGAAATAACACCTAAACAATTACGAAGACGTCTAGAGTCTGGCGATCTGCAGACAATGCAAAGCCACTCGCCCTCCGAGCCATTCTTAAATCCCTCGCAGCTCATATGTAACCATTCCTCGCACAACTCGCACTGTACCATGTCGTCCCAACACTCGGGCATTGAACAATGACAAAATAAATAAGTGTCACAAGTTTGTCTCTTACTGAATCTAGCGGTGTTCGACTATCGCGGCAAAGGTTCAAAAACGACTTCTCTCCAGACCTTAAACTAAATTCTTGCCCATTTTCCCTTGGTCAAAAGAAACATCTGACGGGATGCCAGCTCGTAGGCATTAACGGTACGCATGTTTTGAATTTAAAACATACTTTAGTGCGCACTGGAACGTAAAGTATCATCCATTTTTACTAGAACGTTGAGGATAATTTTTTCACTCAGTTTTGTTGGGGGGTCCAAATCCGCGGAGGGAGGTCCATATCCGCTGACGGATTTGGACGGGGGGGTCCAAATCCGCTGGGACACCGGGACGACGTATCGAGTTATTTCAAGTACTACCAGCTATCCAGCGAAATCCTCGATTACAAGTTAATTTTGTTTCCTTCCCGTCATCATATCAAACTCTTTCCCCAGCGCGACGAACATTTGTTTTTCTCCGTTCCAGGTGTACGCGACCACTAACCCCACGTAATGCGCATGCTCTCTGTTGCGAATTTTCAAAATGGCGGACAGGCCAAAGGGGGAAATAAAAAAAGCAATTTTGTAATGAATACTCAACATACGCTTCCATTAGAAAGGCGAATTTACGAATGAAGAAATTTAAAATGGTTTCCGTGTTTACATAGCCGGATGTAAACACGCGGGAGGTTGGGTTGAACACGAGATAAGCGTAGGAAACCACGACGCGAAGCTGAGTGGTTTCCAGCTTATCGAATGTTCTCCCAACCTCCCAAGTGTTTACATCGGGCTATGTAAACACGGAAACCCTTTTACATTTCTTTTATAAAATAACTAATGAAAGAGGAACGAAAACCGTGTTTACATACGCTCATGTAAAATGGTTTTATGGCCAATCAGAGCGCGCGTACTATTTGAATTATTTTATAAAGAAAGATACAAAACTGTATGATGTTGAGATCGATATGATATTAAATTGATACCGAGTGCTCGTTTTCAACTTGCTAAGAAGTTCATTTAATTGCCTTCCGCCACGATTACTAGCTTTCTTGACAGCTTTCCGAAGACAGAACATTTTCTTTCTGAAGACTTCTAATATGCAGCTACTGATTATTACACCTTGTATACCTGATTGTTAAAACACTTTGTTTACGACTGTTGGAAGGAACGACTCATGGTTCTCCGTCTTCGTCTTTACATTGCTTTGAAATAGTATAGATTAGTAAGCTGAAACGAAAAATTAATCGGGGAAGTTTACGAAAAATCCAGCAAACAAGCTTAAAAAAGGCATTTATTTAGACTTCATATTTCAACGAACTTCGCAAATCTTACTTGTTTATCTCGTAAGTAAATGATGGAAGATAAATTCCCGAAGCGCTTTCTGAGTTTCCCGATCCCTCTCCTGCTTCTTTCACGCTTACAAAACAGGAAAAAATAAAAAGGGGGAAGATACAGCTGTTTTGAAACGCCATCTGACAAGGGTAAATCTGCTTTTTGTTCGACACTTTGCATATCAAAACAAAGAAAATTTCTTCCTCTTTTTGATTCTGGCGGTATGTTTTTAATTTGCGCCTGCGTAAAAGAGATATCGCCCGAGACCCTTCGCTCGGTCGTGTTACAAAGGACAAATTGTGTCATGACGAGTTTTTGTCTCGATTTTTGCATCCGCTTAAAACTTCAAAACTGTCAAATTTCGTCAGAGCTTGATCTGCTCATGAGACCAGCTGGCATAGTTTACTATGCCAGCTTCACGATCCATTGTACATCGTTTCAAAGTTTTAAAATCCACGAGTTTCGCGACAAAAGAAAGTTAATGCCCTCCAGGTAAATTTTAGTGAGTTCAATAACAAGCTTTTACGTCTCCTTTCACTGCCTCACATTGTCCTTTTTGCTCTGGATGCTAAAAATACTTTTACTACATTTCCAGTGTCCTCTCAGGTGTTCTGGTGTTTAGAAAATACCACTTACTGTTTTAATTTTTCCAAATCAGGGCTGAAATACCCAAAGCCACTCTAATCTTTGCTTTCCATGAATCAAGTAAACATTTAAAAGATAAAATTCTCATTAAAATGTAAATTTCTTCAGTCCATTTGAATAACTTTCGATTCTAATTCGTTACATTAACAAATTTTGGTTCCAACTTGTAGAACTTGCGAAACAGGTCGTATGACAAAGAGAAAAGTTTGCACAATCACGTCACTCAATACATCAAGCTGGGTTTGTCCAATTGATTTTGATGGTCGCAGGGAAATGTCGAGTTTGTCGCTCAAAACCGTTGTAGTCCATAAGAGCGTAACATCATTAATGACGGAAACAAATTTTCAGAAAGGAGGGCCAGTTCATCGGGTTCCGTATACTAAATCTCGGGAGAAACTGCAAGAATTATTTCAGAGTGTATGCGTGTTGTTTTGTAAATATAAACACTGTAACCTATTTTAACTTGTTTTTGTGTCCTTTTAAGCAACGCGATATGTCTGTTATGACCAGAGTGCCAAATTTTATTCTTTAATTTTGATCTTCTCCACACTGTGCATAGTTAATGACCTGATACTTCAACGTAAATTATCGAGAAGGCGCCTTCCGATCACCTTTATCTACTTTGTAAGTCACACAAGCGCGCAAGCGCTTCGACCGATCACGTTCACGCAACGTTTTAGGACAATTCAGCATCTAATCTCCATTCAGTTGCTGTGAAAACCTTTAATCCTCAACGTACGAGATAAAAGAACGAAGTTTGAACGGTCAAAAGGAGATCTTGCTCAATTCTAAGAATCATGCAAATGATCTTTGACACGAGCACAATTGAGCACTGAAACACACGGATTTGCGTTGTTGCGTCGTCGTCGTAGAGAAGGGCCTCCTCTGACCACGCTGGTATGAAAAGTATTTCAGCTTAAGTTTCCATATTTTGTCTGTGAACTAACTAAATACACCTTGTAACTTGTAGCAAGAAAGAATTCCGTGAGCTATTGCAGTTGTTGAGCGCTGGACAAAATATTTGAAATTTACACTTTCGATCGCTGTTCACAGGGGTAGTCTGGCCAAAAATCATTTTTGGCTTGTGGCGATGCGAAAAAAGAGAATTGGAGAACAACTTAACTTTTTTTTGAAACATGTGTCCTAAACCCTTTTCGTGGGCAAAAAAGAAAAGAAAACTTTTTTTCGACGGGAAGTCGAGAGGACCGCTCTTAGCGAGAGCGGCACTTAAGACACTTTCTATACAAAAGGAAAGATGTTGTGATACTGCATAAATTAACATGTACTTTTGTATCACGTGACCTATTGTTATGTGATCAGACCTTGTGGTCTTTAGTGAGCCGCCATCAAAGTTGTTGAGTTGTGTTTACGCTTGTTGTCCTTATGTTCACCGTAACAGTGTTAAATTCGACCTGCTGCACTATTTCAGTTTGTAATCGCAGAATGTGAACTTTGACGGTTTTTGAACTTTGATAGTTTGAAATTTTTGACAACTGTTGTCTTGTACAGCCAATCAGATTCTAACAGGGATTTTGATTGGCTTATTGTAGCGTGCATTATGAGAGTATAGCGCATCCTGGCCACATTGTTTTTCGCTTTGGAAATAAAGCTTGTTTTGAGAATTGAAAGTCATGTGTGGGGAATTCAACGGATTCTTTATTATAAAACAAATGGAGAAGCCTTGATTGCGCTCTGTTCTATTGTAAGAACAGGAGTGTCAAAGAAAAGTTAGCGTGCAGAGCAGGCGTAAATTGGCAAGCGAGAGCTCATTCATTCATTTCTTGGTAAAAATCATGGCCGCCACCTTTGATTTTAATGGCAGCGGAAAGCTGGGGAGAGAAGGAAATTTGTACTAAGGCGAGTGAAATTTCCCCACCCTTCCCTCAACGCCGCCTCTATCTCCAAATCAAACATAGCCGGTTGATTAAACAATCGTAAGCTTCTTAACGTTAACTCGCCCTAATAAGACGCCTGTACTGCAGGCTAAGGAAAAATTAATTCCTTAAAAAAAGTATCGGCAGAGGATTTTAGCATCGTGCGTCACAAAATAACAATGCCACACTATTTTCTTTATGCAGCGAAGTATCGATGTAAACTTACCAATGGCTGTGACAATGACACTAGCATTCTTTCCCGCGCCAACTTTATTTATAGGAACACACGTGTAGGAACCATCAGACATCACTGAAACATGAAATATCCCTGATTTGCTGGTCTTGATGAAGCGACCATTGAAATACAAACAAAATTCAACTTCCGGACTACCATCAGTTTGGCAAATCAAACTAAGGAGACTTTTGCGAAGCACTGTGGTGTTCCTGGGAACTGAAATTAGTTTTGTGCCAGTAGGAGCATCTAAAAAAGTATAAATAAAATCACGAGACTGATACAATTTATTCTCAACTATTTCTACCGCTGTCAGTCTCACACCGATAGAATTCCTAAGGCTTTAGTGTTTTCCCCCTGCAGCAGAGAGAATAGCTGGTTTTCATATCGTTTTACAGGTCATGCAAGACCTTTGGGTAAAAAAAAAAGCCTCAAGAGAGAGAGAGAAGTCTGAGAAATGATCGCCATTGTATAAATTAGTCGATAGTGTGACAACGCCCCCACTAATAAAGCGCTCTGTTTCGGCCAACCAGAAACACGCTTTATACAGTAACTCTCTAAAAGTCACAGAGTTTAAACAATTAAATACTTACAGAGCAATGTCACTGCTAGTGTTCTTTGTGGTCCATTACCATGAAAATTAACGGGAATGCAGCTGTAGTTCACCATCTTTACTCTTTCAGTAATTGAAGCTATAATTACTGCATCGTTGTGGGCACCATTGATGTACTCATTACCTTTGTAAAATTGATATTTTGCAGGTGGGTTGGCTTGTGCACTGCAGGTGATACTGAACGTTTCATTCACAAGAACAGTGTTGTTAGTCAGATTAGTTGTCACAATGGTGTTTACTGGATGGTAGTCTACAATGAATTTAAAAGAACAACACTCCACTTGTTAAACTAAGGTAAGTTTTATACCCTTAAAGGCCATTGTCTACTTAAAAATTCACAGCTTACTTTTTACCTCGAATCTGGCATATCGGTGCGCTACAATATATCTTACCTTAATTTGTAAATTCTGACAAAGAAACAAAATTCTCTTAAAGTAACTGAGGCTGTTTTTTCAGATATTTCAGAAATATTTACAGCAGTTAAATAAATAAATAAGCCTTCCATTGTTTTTATAGCTATAATAAATCGTTGATCGGAATATTTCGATCAAGTGCTAGTTTGGCGCCGGGGTAAAAAAAATTCATAGTTGGTGAGGGTATCGTCCCACGACTCGAAAATTTGGAAGATGGATATTATGCTAAATAATCGCATAATTAGTTAAAATTGCCAGCTGAGAGGTTTTGTAACTCTGTGTTACCTCAGGTAATAAGCAGTAAAGGGAAACAGTTCAAAATTAACTTACTCTGCACAAAAACATTGAAAATCCTGCTATCAGGGCTTCCAACACCATTACTGGCAGTGCACTTGTAGTCTCCTTCATCTTGCTTACCACTGATGATGAGAGGGAAGGACACAGCTTTATTGTCAGAAACTCTTGTCCAGGTGATATTTGGTGTTGGATTACCATCAGCCACACATGTTGGATTTAATGTGTCACTTTCATTCAAGGTCTGATTACCAGAGGTGTACTTCATCTTTGCTGCATCTGACATAAAGAAGGCACAAACATTGTCCAAAAGAGAATTCACTGAATTTTTTCAATGTATACACAAAGTTGTTACCCACTTGCAGATAGTTAATTCATTAAATATTTAACAGCGATGAGCCATGCCTGTTTTCCACATTGAGGGCGATTAACACCTCCACTAATCATTAAATTTAATAATTAAGGTTAGAGGCACATGTAGATGATCAGCTACGTAGCCGATAACACCTTCAATGGAATCAAACCCACAAAAATACCAGTATGAACACACTGTACTGGTTTCATTTATTAATTCCCTAGTTACGCAAAAACTCTCAAATCTGGATGGCGGTATGTTAAATTCGTTGCTTTCAATAAGATTTTAAGCAGGTGGCTACCTAAAAAAAAACACCCGACGGAGACTAAAATATAAAACAATTTCCCTCTCGCAAGCCTGGCTTCAAATGGAGTTTTCTTCTGTACATAATAATAGTTTGTTTTCCAACTAGCCGTTGAGAGGAACTGTTGTTGTTCTATTTGTCCAAAAATATTTGACAAGGGTTTTCCAATACACCCAAGCTTTAGGCATAGGGAAAGGTATGTCATAGGTAAATGAAACATTTTCTGCTATTGACTCTCTGTGAGACATATTTCAGTGGAGGTTGTGGTGCCAATTTCGTATTAAATATATAGTTGGGAGGTGGAGCGTCCGACATTGTAAATGCTGAGTTTGAGTGAGTTTTTTTTTTTTCATACAAAGCATTCCGCATTTTTAGAGCAAGTCGTTACTGTTTGTGTTTTTTCTTGACCCCTGTACTCTGCATGTTGAATTCTTTTATTATCTCTTCTTCTTCTAATTGTATTTTTAGCACCACAACTGAAGAACAGGCTGGAGACGATGCAACCATAACAATTTGTTTTCTTCCATGCCACTTGAGCTCGGAACACTTGTTCCATACCAATACATTGACAGGCTAATTGGCATTTTCAATTTTCAATAATAGGGAATAAGGAAAAACGTTTTACTTACATTTCACTGAAATCTTGACGTCGTCTTTGATAGTAGTTGCGGCAAGGTCGTCGGGAACCACAATCAATTCATACTTTCCGCTGTCTGATCTTTGCGAGCGATGGATTGTTATTATTGATTTACTATCTGTTAAATTAAAGACGAATCGATCTTGGAAGTCACTAGCCACCTGAGTTGTGCCTCCACTCTTATACCTCGCAACTCTTCGTGCAGAAAACGAGGGGGAATCAGCGGAGAAAATTACTTCTACTTGATCCAGAGGAAAACCACCAAGAGTGTATGTCCACTGAAGGGTAATGTTGTCATTTTCCACTGGATACAATGCACTTGAAGGAGTCGAAATAAAGGATTGTGCTTGCTCTTTGCGTAAAAAGGAAAACAAAATCGTTTTTGAGAAAGTCCGATTAACAATGTGGTCTACCTCTGAAGTTTTGGAGAAAGAAAGGGGGCGTCACTCCTACAAGGTTTACTGATTCAGCATCGAAGGGCACGACATGCTAATCATTCTAAATTAAGATAAACCCTACGGGCTTAATACTCCGTAGCATCAACAACACAGAAAAATCTCCAAGCTGAATTTAAAATCCTTGTGGCCTTTTTCCCAGTTGTTTTTCGGTCGATGTTGAAAATGGCGGCCCCTGTGCTCAAAGCTTTGTTTTTTAAATACACTTTTACTACTTCTATTATGAGAAGAGTGATGTATATTTTACAAGTGTAATATAGCTATTATTTTAGAGGAAGTTTGTTTTAAATGAGGTGCATTCAGGATATATATTAAACGTTGAATAGCAGAATATTGATAAAAATTGAAAGGAAAAAAAAACTAGAATTAGGACAATTCCATGAAACAAAGAACTCTTCTGCATAAGTGAAGTGTTTCTTCCCATCTTTGGATAAATAACTATAATAAGCTATTGAAAAAAATTCCTTTTTTATTGGTTAGCACACCCTTTACTATAGACACGTGATTATCCCTACACATCATTATACATAATTAAGTTCATGTGTGGCTCAAGATATTTATCCTATTGTAAATGGCGTAGAATCAAAAGGAAACTTTAAATTTCTCAGTCAAAAAGTTCTGCCGGTCAACAAAAAAAGACCAAGTGGTATTATAGTTTCTAGTGAGGCCTTTAAACTAATGTAAAAATTAAAACGAAGTTAAAACAAGTGTCAGGGATAAAAAATGTTCTGTAATACGAAGAGGATATTATAAGGTGGTGAGGATATATGTATTTCATTTTCGGGTGGCAAGAACATAAGTACTCTTCTTGAGTGCCTAGAAAACGTCTCGCGTGCACCCACAACTCATTAGTGTGCGCTGCAGTGTTTACCATTTGTTTTATAACAAATGGTAAAAGGGTCACTTTCATTGAACAAATCTAACGTGACCAGACAAAACAAGCGCTAAAAAACTAATCAACGCATTCACCCACGTTAGCAGCATGCATCCATGGGCAATTAGTAGACACTGAATCACAGTGCATGCTTAACGTTGGCATGAGCCCATTAGTAATAGGTTCCTGACGTTGGTTTTTGCCCTCTTAGGGTTCTGGCCCAGAGGCTGGAACCTGAGGAGGCACTGTAGAGTACCTCGCGTATTGAGAGAAATAAGAAATGACATATTATAAAGAGAGTGGGGAAAAAATTTCGATTTGTTCTGAATGTGGCGCGCAAAGGATCTGCAAAATTGGCGCGTTGTGGATCCTGAACTTCACGGTTCGTGCTTCATATCAGATTATCAATCGAACAACGAACAGTGTTTTTTGTTTTGCACCAGAACTCGATTTCTTTTCTTCGGGCAACGATGTTTCGTATAAGCACCAAAGAGAAATTTAACGATAAAAATCCGAGTGTTAAAAGGTTAAGATTTCGATTCCACTGGAGATTGCTCCGAAAGTTTGCAAAAAAGTCACGGAATCCCTTGCCTCCTCAACGCAAATCAATGGGACAACGGAACCTCCTGGTGTCAACGACGATGGATCAAGATCTCCAGGGAAAAGTATCGCATCAGTTCGATCGCTAAGTGAAGCTTTGAGGAGGACTTTTTCTCCCATAGATTTTTCCATAGGCAAAGATTTTCCAAAGGCAATAAGCTTCCACGTGTAAATTTTGTCAAGTGCGCGATGTAAACAAAATATGCGAATAACACGAGGAACAAGCTCCACGATGAGCAATTGCCACTAAGGGAGTTCGGCCATTTGCGAGATTATGAAACCTTCCTGATTTCTTAATTTTTAATTGAAACTAATATAATAAAAAAAAACGGACGTTTTTGAAGATTTTAATTTTTTTTGGAAACCTTAGGTAAAATGTCTGACTCTTTTGTCAAATAAAGGATTCTCTCGGCCTCTGAAGGTGGGAAGTAACCTTAAAGAGCATAGTGTTGTTACTCGTTTCTGCGTTCCTCTATTTGAAGTAACACATCCATAATTTCAGTTTACTGTTGCGAAATACAGAAGTTACAA